CTTGCTGGTTGTTTTGTTTTACTCGTGTTGACTACCTGACTTGTCCTTGACTTGGTTATTTTCCATGATGTTGAGTGTATTTCTCTGCTATTCTGAAGTGAAATTATTGCAAATGATTTTTGATTCTTCTGTTGTGTGTGTACCTTGCCTTGTGTTTTTTGATCTCTGTGTGTGTTGCAATTTGACCTTTGATTGATTGAACCTCGAATTCTGAATGGTATCATGCTGTTTGTTTCTGTTTTTTCTACCTGCTCATTTCTCACTTAATTGTCCTTGTTTTTATTTTTGCTATATTGTTGAGTGTGTTGTTCTGAACTGAAATAATTGCAAATGGTTCTTGATTTTTCTCTGATGTTGCCTGTACCCTGCCTAGTGCTCTTTTTATTATCTTTGTTGAAACTGTGTGTCTTATGTGACTTATAAAATTGTTTTCGCACTTGATTTCGAATCAGTTTTGCTTCTATGATTCTCTCTGTCTCTCTGTGCAAATATTTGTTTTTCTACCTGAAATGTTTCTCTGTTTGGTGTTACACTTTGATTTGAATATCTTGCCTTTGAGTGACAATTTGCTACTTTTTCTGATCTGAAATTGTTGTTATATATGCACCTGCTGTGTGTATCTCGTACTCTGCCTGATGCTCTCTTCATTATGCATTCACTTTTATTGAATTTATTTGTTTGCCTCATTTTCAAATCTGACTGTCACTTTTAGGTGTCAAACATTTACTGCCAAAACTTGTTCTGTTTTTCAGAGTCATGCCGCAGCAGCACCTGCTCCTGTTCTCTTCCAGAGTCAACGCTTACAAGAATACCATGCCATGTTTAAATCTAAACTTCAACTCTACTTACAATGGAGGTGAGTCTTGCTAATTTGTCAATTTATAATGTATAGACATAGTGAAACTAAGTTGTTGATTTTTTGTTGCAGCTGGTTATTCCTTTAAGATGATAAGTTCGGTACCAGGGCGAAGTTCCAAGTTCATACTTCCTGATTGGAATCGACATTCAAGAACGGGAGTCAACCACTTTTCAATGTACATCTGCGGATCTAATTATTTAAAAGCATCAGTCTTTGGAGTTTGTTGTATTGTTTTTCTTTTATTCTTACATGTTATGTGGCTACTCTGTCCAGAAGTTTGGCCTTACTTCTCAACTTCACTGGTTTAGTTTGAACCTCTGTTATTTAACTAAATTGTACATTACATTTTTTACATACAATAAAAGTATATGCTCAAATCTTGGAAACTTTAAATCACAAGAAAGGCCTCAACCCTACCCAAACTCAACCACATTTTCACAAACCTTAAAGCCATTTTATTTCATCGTAGCCAGAGTATGGTTCTATTTTGAGAACAAAGTGCAGAGAAACCGCCCTTCCTTTAAGGGTACCCTTTATCTCATCCGGGCACGGGGTCCTGGTGCCGGGCGACGTCCCGGACGACAACCTCGTCCCCCCCGTCACCTACGTAGCAGGCGCCGTTGCCTCGGTCGTCACATTACCAACTTCGGCGTCCTGGGGCCGAGGGCGAGGTGCATCACACGCTCAGACTCGGCCCCAAGCGCACCGGCCGCGGCGCCCCGTCAACGTCCTAGACCTGGCGGCCAGGACGACAAAGCGCGAGGTGCTGGGGCCAGACTTAGAGGTGCCCGACGAGGTCAGACCCGGCCCCCGCCCCCGCGCGCCAGGCCGCCCCGTCTACGTCCTGGAGCCGGTGTCCAGGACGACAGGGCGGGAGGTCCCGGGGCCGGGCTGAGGTCCCCGACGATCTCAGGCTTGGCCCCCGCGCACCAGGCCATCCTGCCAGCGTCCTGGAGCCGGTGTCCAGGACGACAGGGCGGGAGGTCCCGGGGCCGGGCTGAGGTCCCCGACGATCTCAGGCTTGGCCCCCGCGCG